ATAAGTTTTAGTACGTGATTCTGGGCAAGATAATCATGTTAGGATGTTAAAATTTTTATATTCCGCTGCCTATCCTTGCATGGTTACCTTTCAGTGGTATCGGAGCCAACGTACAAAACTATAGTTTTACGTTTGACTTTTAAAATTTTAAAAGTCAAAGTTTTAACTTGGTAATTATTAAAATTCAAAAATTGGTAAATTATTTTATTTAGTCTTGGAATAAGTATTGGACTTAAATAAATCATTGAAAATGAATTTTAAATTTATTTATTTTATTTCTACTCTTAATATATATAAATACATATATTTTGATTTTTCGAAATATATATTTATATATATTGTAGAAATAGTAAATATAATTTTATTTGGACATAAAACATCATTTTATGATTGATAAAATTATATTGTAATTTTTGAATGTATTATTTCGTATTTTGAATTTATTGTATTTATTTAGGTGAAAACCGAAAATAAATATGGAAAAATTCAAAATGAACTTTATTAAAATTGGAAATATTATTTCTAAGTTGAATAAGATTGTTGGTAAATATATTGTTCAAAATAATATTAGTTAGTAATTAAATAAATATATATTTATATATGTACTCGGCTTTATTACCGAAATATTATATATATTTATATATTTGTATTTTAATTACATAAATGACTAATATATATTTTGGAAAGTTATATCTCAGTAAGAAAAAGAATGTTTTTCAAAATATTAAATTTTTGTAATTTAATATTTTCGAAATCAATTTAAATGACTTTTTATAACTTATTGAGATTTAACTAATATATTTTGGAAAAAATGATTTATAAATTTTGGAAATTTTATTTCCAGGTTTATAAACGTTAAAAATAACTACTGGAAGTTGAAATTTAATTTTCATGATTTTTGCAAAATTGTTTCAAAATTTTAATGGCCTTTTTGAATATAATTTTGCAAAAAGGGCATTTTGGTCATTTGAAATATTCTAGAATTTTTTTTATGCTGGCAGAATATCCAGATTATATAAAATGATTGTATAAAATTTTATTTGATTTATTTGGACATCTAATTTAATTTTATGAGTTTTAGAAAATATTTACTACCGTAGTATTTTTCTAGAACTGTCTGGGGTGAGCGCGGTTCACCCGGTGTATGTATATCTCTATTGCTTGTGTGGATGCATGATATGCATGGTGGATGATTGTGGCTATAGTACGGTGTATGTTAAGCTGGTTACGGGAACCGCCATAGCGTGGTCGCTGTCGCACGTTGGGTTAGACTTAACTGAGTCTCGGTCAAATGGATGGACGACTCAGAGGCAGTAAGTTGGGGTCATCAATGACAAGTCGGATGATTTTACTCACTCATCAGCCAGGAGTTGGATCTTTATGATTTAATTGGAACTCTATTCCTAACCAAAGTAGTCTGCTTGTAAGACGTGCCTCAGCCAATTACAAGTACGGTGAAAAGGTGTCCTGGTCCGGTTGTAGTAATATTGTTCGCCCAACACCAGACCAAGAGCTGAGAGCCCGGCTCATCAGTTGGAACTATGTTCCTACCTAAATAGTTGTCTTGTGGAGTAACGCCCAAGCGGAACGCAAGATAATGAAATATGGATCTTGGCCCACTAGAGGTTTCGCCGGAAATCTCCGAATCAATATCGAGGGTTATTGATTTGTTAAAAATAGTGGGAGATAATTAATTAAAGGCCTAATTAATTATTAAACATGATAGATAACCTAGTTTGCAAAATTTTCTGTAGATGGCAAA